GGTGGGAGGGGAGAGATGCTGAACACGGGTGAGGGCTTCCCGGACATGAGCTCATATCATTTTTGCAACAACCCTTCAACATGGGTATGATGACTACTCCTATCTTACAGACGAGGAATCGGGACTCACTGGAAAATCCTTGGCTGGGCGCAGTGGCTCACGCCTGTAATCCCAGTGCTTTGGGAGGCCAAGGCAGGTGGATCACCTGAGGTCAGGAGTTTGAGACCGGGCTGGCCAACATGGTGAAAACCCATCTCTACTAAAAGTACACGAATTACAGGCATAGTGGCACACACCTGTAATCCCAGCTCCTCGGTAGGCTGAGGCAGGAGAATTGTTGGAACTTGGGAGGCGTAGGTTGCAATGAGCTAAGATTGCACCATTGCACTCCAGCCTGGGTGACAGAGCGAGACTCCCTCTCAAAAAAAGAAAAGAAAATCCCTCGTCCACAGCCTCTGGGAGATGGGGGTGGAGAGCTGGAGGAGGGGAGGGGAGGCTGGGTTTTAGGTGGGGCCAGGAGGCGAAGCTGTGCATGTGGTTGAAGCTGTATCCACACAGTGGCAAGGGTGAGGGGTGGGGCTGGAGTGGCGGATGGCTCCTGAGTGGCCCTGCTCTTCCGTCAGCCTGGGGGTCTATGTGTGCCCGGTGGGGTCAAGGACAGCCTGATGTGATGTGTGGTCTGTCAGCCCGGGAGAGGCCCTGTGCCTGGCTGGGCCTCACGTCCTCATCTATGAAATAAAGCTGCTGGACCTGATGAGTGACTTCTTGGGATTCTTCTGCCCTAGCAATCTACGATGATGTCATAATGAGATGAGATCTTAACTTATCATTTCTTTTTGCCGGTTAACTTTTTTTTTAAAAAAGGTATTTACCTTTTAAAAATATAGGCTGTGCTCATACCTGTAATCCCAGCACTTTGGGAGGCCGAGGCGGGTGGATCGTTTGAGGTCAGGCGTTTCAGACCAGCCTGGCCAACATGGTGAAACCCCGTCTCTACTAAAAATAAAAAAATTAGCCAGATGTGGTGGTGGGTGCCTATAATTGCAGCTGCTTGGGAGGCGGAGGCAGAAGAATCACTTGAACCTGGAAGGCAGAGGTTGCAATGAGCCCAGATTGCGTCATTGCACTCCAGCCTGGGTGACACAGTGAGACTCTGTCTCAAAAAATAAAATTAAAATATAATAGAGTCATGCGGTTCTCATTCAAAAGGGTCTAAAGTAGTGACTACTCTCCAGGCTCTAAGGTCCCTCCTTGGAGTCAACCAGGTTTACCAGCATATCCCTGTTACCAGTTTCTACCACGGAGATGGCAAGAGCCTGTCACCCAGGGCTGAATCCTGAGGAACTGAAAGATGGAGAAAGACTGGGAAACTCATGATGAGAATAGGATGGGATTAATCAGGGTGGGATTCCTGGAGGAGCCCACTTTTGAGCCAGGTTTTATAGGAGGGGAGTCACTTTGGGGCCGGAAGCAGGTCACAGAGGAGGGACATGTCCCAAAGGGAAGTCATAATCTTTCCTCTCAAAGCTGTCCTCATCCAGCATGGATAGCTCTGCAGCCAGCCACCTGCACAAACCAGGAGTGGGGCAGTGATGTTGCTGCCTGTCTTCTTCTCACCTGTGTCCCGCCCAGCGCCAGGTTCTGCCAGCACAACTTCCTTAGCACACTCTCAAGTCTCCTCATCTGACCTGAGCCGGGAGTGGTAGCTCATGCCTGTAATCACAGCTACTCAGAAAGCTGAGCCAGGGCCGGGCGCGGTGGCTCATGCCTATAATCCCAGCACTGTGGGAGGTCGAGGCGGGTGGATCGTGAGGTCAAGAGATCGAGACCATCCTGGTCAACATGGTGAAACCCCCGTCTCTACTAAAAATACAAAAAATTAGCTGGGCATGGTGGTGCGTGCCTGTAATCCCAGCTACTCAGGAGGCTGAGGCAGGAGAATTGCTTGAACCCAGGAGGCGGTGGTTGCGTTGAGCCGAGATCGCGCCATTGCACTCCAGCCTGGGTAACAAAAGCGAAACGCCGTCTCAAAAAAAAAAAAAAAAAAAAAGAAAGAAAGCTGAGCCAGGAGGATCCCTTGAGCCAGGAGACCAGCCTGGGCAATGTATGGAGGTCCTGTTTCTAAAAAACAGACAGGGTGTGTTGGCTTATGCCTGTAATCCCGGCACTTAGCGAGGCCGATGTAGGTAGATCACAAGGTAAGAAGTTCGAGACCAACCTGTCAACATGGTGAAATCCTGTTTCTACTAAAAACACAAAAATTAGCCAGGCGTGGTGGTGGGTGCCTATAATTGCAGCTGCTCGGGAGGCTGAGGCAGGAGAATCGCTTGAACTTGGGAGGCAGAGTTTGCAATGAACTGAGATTGTGCCACTGCACTTCAGCCTGGGAGACAGAGGGAGACCCTGTAATAAAAAAAAAAAAAGATTTGGAATCTCTCTCCTGATGAGAAGGCACGTTGTGAAAAGGTCACTTTCCCATGCCTCATCCACCCTCTTTCCTCTCCCCCTGCCACCAGGAGATGACTTTTATCAGCTTTTGTGTCTCCAGAGTTTCTTTCTTTTTTTTTTTTTTTGAGACGGAGTTTCGCTCTTGTTACCCAGGCTGGAGTGCAATGGCGCGATCTCGGCTCACCACAACCTCCGCCTCCTGGGTTCAGGCAATTCTCCTACCTCAGCCTCCTGAGTAGCTGGGATTACAGGCACGTGCCACCATGCCCAGCTAATTTTTTGTATTTTAGTAGAGACGGAGTTTCACCATGTTGACCTGGATGGTCTCGATCTCTTGACCTCGTGATCCACCCGCCTCGGCCTCCCAAAGTGCTGGAATTACAGGCTTGAGCCACCGCGCCCGGCTGTGTCTCCAGAGTTTCTGTAGGTAAAGATAAGTGAGTGTGAATTCCCGCTCTATTCCCGGCCCCCTTTTCCACGTCGGTCACCCATGTTGCCCTGCACTTGAGTTTTCCCTCTGAACAGTGTGCCTTGGAGATCTTGGCATGATGGCACACAGGAACACCCTCAAACACAACATGTTTTTCAGCCGCACCTGGTTTCACTGTATGGATGAACCGTAGTTTATTTCATTCTCTACTCAAGGGTGTGTGGGTCGCTCCCAGTCTTTTGCTATTAGAGACAATCGCACAGATAATACTGTCCACTTGCTGGAATCTCTAGATACATTCTCCAAAGAGGGGATTCTTGGGCTAAAAGGGAAATGCATTTGGAATTCAGAAAGATGTTGTCAGCTTGTCCTCCGGAGGGGTTGTACCAAGTGATGTTCCCACTGTAATGTATCAGAGTGCCTGTTTGTAATTATACATTTATTTATGTGATTATTGGATGGTTTCTCTCCCCACAGGAGGCAGGGACTCTGTCAGTTTTGCTTATCATCACAGGCACTCAATAAATGTTGAATTAGGCTGAGTGTGATAGCACGTGCCTGTAATCCGAGCATTTTGGGAGGCCAAGGTGGCTGGATCACCTGAGGTTGAGAGTTCGAGACCAGACTGGCCAACATGATGAAAACCCATCTCTACTAAAAATACAAAAATTAGCCGGGCGTGGTGGTGGGTGCCTGTAATACCAGCTACTCAGGAGTCTGAGGCAGGAGAATCACTTCAACCTAGGAAGCAGAGGTTGCAGTCAGCTGAGATCACACCACTGGACTCCAGCCTGGACTACATGATTGAAACTCTGTCTCAAAAAAAAAACCCAAAAAACAAAAAACAAAAAAAGTTCAATTAGTGAATAGATTCATGGTTCTTCCAGGAGAAGTTGGCTAGGGTAGGAGGGAGACCATCTTCCTTTTGTGTTCACGGTGCCCAGCCCAGCTTCCCAGACACTTCCATAGGACATCTGGGACCCTGGGAGAGACTCTGGAGGTTCTGGAAGACCTGACCCTAATTGCTGACTCCCGATCCCCACTCCAGAGCAGCCCATCTCCTGCTATGAAATCAAGAAGCCCATGGCTGGGCGAGGTGGCTCACTCCTGTAAGCCCAGAACTTTGAGAGGCCCAGGCAGGAGGATTGCTTGAGGTCAGGAGTTCAAGATCAGCCTGGGACATACAGCAAGATCCTGTCTCTACAAAAAATTTAAAAAGAAAATCAGCTGGGTGGGGTGGCTTGTGTCTGTAGTCCTAGGTACTCAAGATGCCAAGGTGAGAGGATTGCTTGAGCCCACAAATTTGAGGCTGCAGTGAACTATAAATGCGCTACTGCACTCTAGTCTGGGTGAGAGAGTGAAATTATGTCTCTGAAAAAAAAAATGTAAAGAAAAAAAAGTTCAGTGTCTTAGCCCTGTAAGGGGACTTAAAGGATGGACCCTTGTCTGATGCCCGAATTCCCTGTGTGCCCTCTGCTTACACACTTCCAGTGATAGGGAACTCACCCCATCAGCTTCAGCTTCTTTCAGCTTCAGACAACTAACTTTTAGAACGCTTTTCATGTATTGGGCGGGTGCGGTGGCTCACACCTGTAATCCCAGCACTTTGGGAGGTCGAGGCGAACGGATCACTTGAGGTCAGGAGTTTGAGACCAGCCTGGCCAACATGGTGAAACCCATCTCTATTAAAAATACAAAAGTTAGCTAGGCATGGTGGCGGGCGTCTGTAATCCCAGCTACTGGGGCGGCTGAGGCAGGAGAATCGCTTGAATCTGGGAGGTGGAGGTTGCAATGAGCTAAGATCACACCACTGCATCCAGCCTGGGTGACGGAGCAAGACTCTGTCTCGAAAAACAAAACAAAAACAAAACAAAACAAAAAAAAAAAAAACAAAGAAAAGAAAGCTTTTCCATTTATTGAGTTGAAATCTGATCCTTGTAGCTGCCTCCTCTTCAGGGAATGTTAATTGCGGCCTTCTGGAAACAAGGCTTTCTGGCAGAGGAGCAGGAGGGATATTTGGAAACAGGTACCCGTCAGCAATTCTCTGGCAGGCAGGGCTGACTCTCTGGGGGAGCTCTGCAGAGGGTGCTCCCCGCCTCACTCTCTCCTGTCCTGCCCACAGGTACGTGCAGGAAGGGCGGTTCCGAATGGAGGAGAGGACACTGACAGCCTTCCAGTGGCTCTACAGCCCACAGCAGCACCGCATCCTCAGCCGGGCCGACCTCCAGTCTCCATCCAGGTAAAGGGACCTTCTGCCTTGACCCTCACCTGCTTTGGCCTCGGTCCAGGCCCCTCAGCTGGTACTTACGAAGCCAGGGCCCCATTGGTCCACAAATCCACAGTGGGGAACTTTGCCTTCAGGGATGGGGAGGCCTCCTAGGAAAGAGTTTGTCAGCCTGGATGCTTGTCCCATCTCAAGTGCACCGAGAAACTTGAGGCAACTCACTGCCTCTGCTTTCTCCTCTGTCAAATGGATAGGATTGTATTTTCCCTGCCTTCTCCTGGGAGTTCGTAAGTCTCCAGTGAAATATACCTGCAGAGGTTTACAAAGCCTGGAGATCCATCGGACTAGGTGGCTCATGCCTGTGATCCCAGCACTTTGGGAGGCCGAGGCAGGAAGATCACTTGAGGTCAGGAGAGTGAGACCACCCTGGCTAACTTGGTGAAACCTCGTCTCTACTAAAAATACAAAAATTAGCTGAGCGTGGTGGCACATATCTGTAATCCCAGCTACTCGGGAGGCTGAGACAGGAGAATGTCTTGAACCCTGGAGGAGGAGGTTGCAGTGAGCCGTGACTGTGCCACTGCACTCCAGCCTGGACAACAGAGTGAGACTCCGTCTCAAACAACAACAACAACAACAAAAAAAACAAAGCCTGGAGAGCGCTGCTTCCTCCCTCTCTGAAGGGAGAGTGGCAGGTAAATTTGCTGGGCACCTCCTGCTTTGACCTGGAGCCAGCCCAGCCTTCCTTGACCAACTCCTTTCCCATGCCAGAGATTCCAGCTGGGATCCTGAGTCTGGGTGGAGGGCTGGGAGGTGAGGGCTTCTCCTGACCCAGATCCCTGCCCACTCTTCCCCCAGCACTGGACACGTGTGACCAACATCAGCAGTCACAACAGAGGAGTGCTGGCAACCCTTCTGCAGCCCAGCCCTTCCCAAGGTCTGCCATACCCGACCCTGGGCCTTTTCTTCCACTTTCCCCATCAAAGCTGTTGTTGTTGTTGCTGTTTTGTTTTGAGATGGAGTTTCGCTCTGTTGCCCAGGCTGGAGTGCAGTGGCATAATTTCGGCTCACTGCAACCTCTGCCTCCCGGGTTCAAGTGATTCTCTTGCCTCCGCCTCCTGAGTAGCTGGGACTACAGGCACATGCTACCACGCTCAGCTAATTTTTGTATTTGTCGTAGAGATGGGATTTCACCATGTTGGCCAGGCTGGTCCCGAACTCCTGACCTCAGGTGATCCGCCCACCTCAGCCTCCTAAAGTGCTGAGATTACAGGCATGAGCCACTGCGCCCGGCCACATAACTTCAGACTTCATACATGGGAAGGCTACATGCCATTTGTGAATTTGAAGAAGAGTCTGCTATAGAGTCACTGAGATAAGTGGCTGAATTCATTTTTGTGATAGAATATTATTTTTTTTTTAAAGAGATAGGGTCTCACTGTTTTGCCCAGGCAGGACTTGAACCTCTGGGCACAAGTGATTCTCCTAACTCAGCCACACTAGTTTTTAATTATTTTATTTAATTTATCTTGAGACAGGCTCTCACTCTGTCACTCAGGCTGGACTGCAATGGTGTGATCATGGCTCTCTGCAGCCTCAAACTTTTGGGCTCAAGTGGTCCTCCTGCTTCTGCCTTCTGAGTAGCTGGGACTCTAGGCATGCATCATCTTGCATGGCTAATTTATTTTATTTTGTTCTTGTTTTTGTAGAGATGGGGTCTTCCTATGTTGCCTGGCTGGTCTTGAATTCCTAGGTTCAAGCCATTCTCCTGCCTCTGCCTCCCAAAGTGCTGGGATTACAGACGTGAGCCACTGTGCCCAGCAATAGTTTTTTTCTTTTGAGACAGAGTTTGGCTCTTGTTGCCCAGGCTGGAGTGCAATGGTGTGATCTTGGCTCACTGCAACCTCTGCCTCCCAGGTCCAAGTGATTCTCCTGCCTCAGCCTCCTGAGTAGCTGGGACTACAGGCACATGCCACCACGCCCAGCTAATTTTTGCATTTGTGGTAGAGATGGGGTTTCACCATGTTAGCCAGGATAGTCTCAATCTCCTGACTTCATGATCCACCTGCCTTGGCCTCCCAAAGTGCTGGGATCACAGGCATGAACCACCAAGCCCGGCCGGCCAGCATGTCCGGCCACCATGTCAGCTCCCTCCTATCCTTTCTTTTCTTTTTCCAAGATGGAGTCTTGCTCTGTCACCCAGGTGGGAGTACAGTGGTGGGATCTTGGCTCACTGCAACCTCTGCCTCCCAGATTCAAGCAATTCTCCTGCCTCAGCCTCCCAAGTAGCTGGTATTACAGGTGCATGCCACCATGCCCTGCTAATTTTTTTTTGTATTTTTAGTAGAGACGGGGGTTTCCCCATGTTGGCCAGGCTGGTCTTGAACTCCTGACCTCATGGCCTGCCCTCCTTGGCCTCCCAACGTGCTGGGATTACAAGCATGAGCCACCACACCTGGCCTTCCTGCTATCCTTTCTTTCTTCCATAACTATCCATTGTGATCCTGCTGTGGGTCAGGCTTTCAAGGAAAACCAGGATACTGCCTTCATGGGCCACACGTCCTAGTTGGGAGAGACAGACGGTAAACATGTAAACACAGAGACAAGAAATTTTCCCAATATGACCAATGTGCTGAACAAACTCACAGGGCATCGAGCTAATGAGCAGCCAGTGGGGGTGTGGGGATTCTGGAAGAGGTGGACGACCTCTCCAGGAAAGTGACATTTGAGCTGAGTCCTGAAGGGCACGGGCTAGAAGCTGCTGTTGAGAGGTGTTGAGTGGGAGTTGGGGAGGGGGCACAGGGCACAGGGTGGAAGCATCCTTTTGTGGGGAACAGAAAGTTCCAGGCTGTTCTAGAAGGAGAAGGCCATTGTAGCCAGAGTAGAGTCACGACCAACAGGGTCATGAGGCCACGACCCACAGACAGAAGCCAAGATTTCTGTGCAATTAAAGGAATGGCTTTCTAGCACTTAGAGCTGCCTGAGGATGGCATGGGTTTCCTGGAGGGAGAAAAATTCCCATCTCTGGAAGTGTGCAAGCCATAGTCAAAGCCCCTCTCTGTGGAGGTTACGAGGATGAGACTCAAGCATCCCAAAGGCTGGCTAGAGGACCCTTCATTCCTTCAACCCCTTCGCCCTCAGGACCATCCTTGGTTTGAGGAAGCTGGGGGGGATGTCTGTGGAGTGCATGAAAGAAAGTTTCAGGTCGGGCGCGGTGGCTCATGCCTGTCAGCCCAGCACTTTGGGAGGCCGAGGCGGGCGGATCCCCTGAGGTCACGAGTTCGAGACCAGCCTGGCCAATATAGGGAAACCCCGTCTCTACTAAAAATACAAAAATTATCACGCCTGTAGTCCCAGCTACTCGGGAGGCTGAGGCAGGAGACTCGCTTGAACCCAGGAGGCGGAGGTTGCAGTGAGCTGAGATCGTGCCACCGCACTCCAGCCTGGGGGACAGAGCGAGACTCTGTCTCAAAAAGATCCAGCCCCAGATCCCAGGCAGCGGGGAGCTTCGGGGGTCGGTGCAGTCCTGGAGACTCGCAGGACAGCACCGTACCCGGTCCCGGGTCCTGCGCAACGCAGAGCTAGAGGGAGACCCCAAGCGTCGTCCTCAGCAGGTCAGGGGCGCTCAAGCGTCACGCGCCTCAGTTCCTCGTCGCCCCCTCCAGGAGCCCGGGGCAGGCGGGGCCGCTCCTTTCCCCCCCTGCCCCGGGTTCTCCGGGCGCGCCTGCCCCGCCCCGCCCCGCGCCTTTGTTTGGGAGGAGCCGCCTCGGGCAGCCCCCACGACGCTCGGGACCCGCTGTGACCCCGCCGCCCCCTCCCCGCGGCTGCGCCGGGCGATCTGCGGCGCCACAGCCAGGCCCAGGGCGCACCCCAGGCGGCGACGCGGCGAGGGCGGGAGCGCGAGTACCCCAGACCCAGTCCGCACCGGCTCGGGCTGCGCGTGCGCGGCGGCGACGCGGGGGGCGCCAGGTGTGCGGGCGGCGGCGGCGGAGGGCGCGGCTTGGCGCGCGGGGCCGGGCCGGGGTGCGCGCGTGCGCGGCTGGGCGGCTGTGAGGGACCCGCCGCGCGAGGAGGAGGAGGAGGAGCAGGGGGCCGGGCCGAGGGAGGGGGCGAGCCGCGGGTCGGCCTGGTGCCCTTCGCTCCGCGTCGGGAGGCAGCGCACCCCGGGCTGCGCCGCAGGTCAGTGGCCCCGGGGCTGGGATTCCGCAGCCCGGCCGGATCGGGGCGCGCGCTCCGCCGTGGCTGAGGGGAGCCGGAGCGTGTGCGGGGTGTGAACGCGTGCGGGTGCAGACAGACCCCGGCACGTACGGACGGCGCGAGCAGGGCTGCCATCCCGCGGAGCCCGCCGGCGTCACGGGTGGTGCTGGGGAGGGGGTGACCGTCCTCGGAAGCCCCTGCGGCGGGGGGCGCTGCACACACGGCCACCTATGGGGAGTGGGGTGTGTGTACCTGAGCCGCTCAGCCTGTCAAAGTCTGGCGAGAGAAGCTGGCGGGGATGGAGGTCGGAGAGGGGCTGTTTACAGGTGGAAGGGAAGCAGCCGGGAACCCCAGGAGGTCCCTGTAGCTAGGCAGGTTTGCTGCTTTCCCCGAGAGGGCTGAAACCCCATCCCATCGTCGCCCCAGCCTGGGCCTGCTGCAGGGACAGGAGCGTGGGTGCGGGGTGCTGGCTGAGAGGCCTGGAGGGGTCTTTGGGAGCGAGGCCGCTTCCAGCCTGATGCTCATTTCCAGAGGCGTGGGTGGGTGTGGGGGTGCCAGTTCCGGGTGGGAGTCCAGGCGTGTGTTCAGGAGACCTTAGGAGTCCGTGTAGACTGTCCTCTGGCTTTGCCAGCACCCGGCGCTGTGTCTGGACCTGGGAGCTGGCTGAGGGGTACCCTTCTTTCTTCCTATTTGTTTTCTGTAGCTCCCCCTACATCCTTGTTAACAAACCTGAAGGGTGCTTATAAGCAAGTGGGTTTGCTGGGATGCGCCCCTGTGGAGCGACCCTCATCAGAGAAGCCTCCGTAGGGAATGACAGG